TTTATGTATATATATATATATATATATATATATTAATAATATACTTCTATAGCTTTAAAATGACAAGTCATTTTATTCTTGAGATTTTAAAGGTTATATTTAGCTAATATGTCAATTATTTGCTCATGCATACAATGTTCATTTTTGAAAAGTATTAGCACTCACCTACTTTATCCCAAGCATTACATTAACTCTCGAAGTCACAGTCATCTTAAGGCAGCAATCTCCCATTATTTTCTTTGTGTGTTTGTCATTGTTAATATTGGGACTTTTGTTTTAGTATACAAACTTTACAAAAGTAAAATCTTTGGTTTTTTATTTCATGTAGTAAAAACCCAAGTAGTTTTTAAATGATTGAGCATTCATATTTGATTATCTGTTGAGAACTGCATTGCTAAGTACCTATGACTAGATAGTGTACCATAAAGGAGGAACTCATTCTGAGTATCAGTCACTCTGGGAAGAAGCAAGTCTTCACTGAGAAGCCAGGACTGTGAAAATGAGAATGGGCTCCAACTTTTTCTTTGACTGAAATTGGAGAAATTAAAACTGTTCAAAAGAGAACTCTTGGATGTAAACCATGTACAGGAAACACAGGAATTAAGAAAGTATACACTTAAACAGATCTTTTCCCCATAATCTGACAAGGATGGAGCAGGAATATAAGCTCAGATGATACTAAATAATTTTTATATTTCAATTATGTGTCAAGCATTCTTATATTATCTCCATTTTATGATGCAGAAACTGAGGCAAGGATGGGTTAACAACTGGCCCATGATTAAATAGTAAGTTAGATAGGCAAGATTCACACTGAGACAATCAGCCTTAAAGTCTATGGCTTAACTACATAATTATATACTATATATAATTACATACATATAAACTGTGTATTGCAATATAAAAATGCAAAAGACTATCCGACTTGCATTTTGTAGAAAACCTTTTCACTAAAGAAACTTGTCAAGAACACAAATAATGTGTTAAAATTAAATGCCTTTTTGAGTTGCCTTTAGAAAAGATATGCAGACTTCCCAGGTTCCTTTCCTTCCTCTTGGCCTTTCTATGAACTCAGGACACATCCACCAAATTAAGATTTCATGGAATACTTAAAAAACTATTGGGCCAGGGATTTAGTTCAGTGGTGCTACCACCTGCCTCATAATTGCAAGGTTCTGAGTTTGATCCCTGTAACCCCCCCAAAAAAAACTATTTACTTGCTGGACATGGAGGAGGCATATGCCTATAATGCCAGCACTGAGGAGGCTGAAGCAGGAGGATTACCACAAGTTCAAGGCCAGCCTGTATTACATAGTGAGTTCAAGGCCAGCCTGAACTACACAGCAAGGTCCTGTCTCAAAACAAATAATTTACTTAGAGAGATGATAGTTTCTGTTTTTATTTTCATCTTATAATTCATTCTGCATTCTTTAGTTGTTCTGAAGGTCTTTGTTTTGTCAGTTGGTTTGGGGTTTATAATGTTTGTGGGGTTTTGTTATTATTTATTTTGTTGTGAGTGGTGGTATTGGGGACTGAACCCAGGGAACACTGAGCTATACTTGACCCTTTTTATTTTTTAATTTTGTGACAGATATCACTAAGTTGCCCAGACTATCCTTGAATTGATGATCATCGTGCTTCAGTCTCCCAAGTAGCTGGCCTTACAGTATTTCCCATTTGTTTGTTTTTATTTTTTAACTTGTTGAGCTTGATTCTTCCAAGTATGCTTTCTGGTACTAAGAGGGTGTAGAGGAAGAATTGGTGATCTTCTGCACAAAGAGAACTTCATCCTTGCCTCTTATAAACTTTTCTTTCATAGTTTTGCAGCCAACCAACTTCTAACTGTGGAACAGAAGATCAAAAATTTCAGAGTGTGTTTCACATTAAAATTTGAACTTATACAAAAACTTTACCTAATCTGTATGTGTGAAAGAACCTAACCCTATGTAGAAGGATAAACTTTGGAGGCAAGCTGGGTTAGATTGTGTTTTAGCTCTGCCATTAACTAGTATTTAGCCTTGTGTAATTCACTTACCTTTTCAGTTTCTTCATGTATAAAGTGGAAATTATATCTACTTTATAGTTTATAGTTATATAATATATATAAATACCTTACAAATATTGTAATCAGTGAATGAAACTTTTTAAAATTATTTCCAAATAATATTATTACATATAAGGTCATTTTATTAACATTCCTTGCCATTTAATAGGATGTTTCATTTATATAGGATAATTTTTTCCTCTTGACTGTATTATAGGAGAGTACTCTCACATGCTCCTTGAAAGAAATTCCTCTTGCACACAAGTATCAAAATATATCAGTAAATTGCCTCAATTTACATTATTGATGACATTGCATATGGATATTACACTAAACAAAACTAAATTAATTAAACAAAACTTTATTAATTACCCAACCACTACATTTTTACTGGTACTAGATGTGTGAAACATATGGTAATGTACTATTTTTTCTATGTTTAATAATTCTAGATGAATTAGTGAATAAAATGAATATAGGAAATGAGTATAAAATTATCGGAATTCTGGCATGTGTCAAAAGCTCACAAACTACTGTTTGTATAGAAGCAAACAGCATTGTTCTTTGCAATCCAAAAGGTAAGGAAATAGTATATTAATAAACATTTAAATTTTAATCAATTCATTCAGCAACTAAATATTGTTTGTATTGGTGCTGGACACTCTTGTGGGTACTCAGGATACAGGACAGCCAAGTTTCTAATCTATCATATAGTAGGTGGTCAACAAAAATGTAAATAATTAATAAGACCATTTCTGACAAAAAAATGTCATGGAAAAAATAAAACATGGATAATGTTGTACAACTTTGCTGCCTGGCAAGACTCCTGTCTTTGAGTTAAATATTATTTTGAAGCCAGGAATGTGCTTATAGTCCCAGTTACATGGGAGCTGAGACATAAGGATCACTTAAGCCTGGGAGTTTGAGGCCAGCCTCACATGATGAGAACCCTGGCTGTCTAAAAAAACAAATGATAACAATAATAAAAATAAATGTAGATATTATTTTGAATTTTATAATTAACATTTAGAAGAATTTTTCAGGATGCCAAAAGTTAGAGTTTAGTCAGAGGTTTTCTGTAGTAACTTATCTTCTTTTTCTAAAAATGTGGAACCCTTTACAAATTTCCATGTCCTCCTTACACAAGGAACGTGTTGATCTTTTCTGTATTATTTCAATTTCAATATATGTGATACTGAAACAAGCATAGTACCTTTTATTTGCTAGCTAAGGCAGTTCAAAGTAACAGTTGCAGTTTGAGAGAATTTAATAAAATATCACCTTTTCTTCTCAGTTCTTTTTTTAAAGTTTTTATTCTTCATTAGTACATGTATTTGCAGTACATAGTGATTACAATTCTTGTGGGGAGTTAGTACATGTACATAACACTTCTTAATTCCTTTTTTAATCTCATTCCCCTGCCCTCCCTCCTTCCTCCATCTCTTGATCCTCTTCCCATTTGAGAAAGATCTATGTTCCTATTTCCTGTTATCTATGTTTTATTTTTCTCTTAATTTATATTTTGGGGTTTTCATATAGGAGAAATCATGTAATATTAAGCTAATGTGAATGATTGATTTTACTTAACATTATAGTCTCACGGTGCATCCATTTTCCTATAAATGACTCATTTATTTTTCTTTATGGCAGAGAGGTACTCCATTGTGTGTAAATATCACATTTTCTTTGCCCATTCATCTTTTGGTGGACAATAGGCTACTTCCAGGATTTAGCTATTTTTATGAGTTGTACCACTGTAAACATGGGTAGCCATGTACCAGCGTAATATATCTCCTAACTCTTTTGAGAAGATGCCTAAAAGGAGAACAGCTGGATCAAGTGAAATTTTTAGTTTTAGTGTATTGAGGAATCTCCATACTAATTTCCATAGTGGTACTAATGTACATTCCCACCAACACTGTACTCATCTAAGTTCTGAAATAAGAAATTAGACAACAGGTAAAGGTAGGTGGGAGGGGATAAAATATTGCCTTTATTACTAAAAGTTCTCTTTAACAACTCCAATGTAAGTTAGCATTACATAAAAGTAGACTTAACCTACCCTTTTAACTTAGTTCATAAATGTCTAAATAAGGGAAAGCCTGGTTAATTCTTGATTACAGTAGAATTTTTTGTAATTAAAGTGCAAGTGGATTTTAAATATCTCTTCTTCTTCTATATCTTCACTTGTTTATTTGTTTATTCTTATTCCAGTACTAGGGATGGAACTTAAGGGTGCTTTACCACTGAGCTACTCTGCTAGCACTTTTTCACTTTTATTTTGAGACAGAGTCTCACTGAATTACTCAAGCTGGCCTCAAACTTGTGATTCTCCTACCTCATCTACCTCATCCTCCTAAGTGCTGGCACTATAGGCATGTGCCACCAGGCCTAGCCTTTTTTCTGAAAGTGAACAAAAATGTTAACTAAAGAAAGCACTGATGGACCACAGATAGTTTAGTGATCTTTTTATATTTTCCAGAGTTAAGTGTTTCAATATTTATTGATCTAGTAGCAGAACATAACTCAGATCTGCTTTTTTATGTTGACTTCTATATTAAATCAGATTTAACCATTCAAATGTGGTAGAAGCTAAACTAAGGCATATCTCCTTCAGTACATGAACATGGGTGAACAGAGGAAGTCATGATACAATTTATAATTGCAGGCCAAGTGGAAGAAGGAAAGAACTGAGTTATTCATGCATATCTATTTTTCCCAAACTGACTATTGGATAAATCACTTACAATATTAGTCAGCTTTTCATCTCTGTGACCAAACACCTAAGAAAAACAATGTTTTCGCTCACAGTTTCAGAAGTTTCAGTCCATGGTTGACTAGTTCCATTGCTTTTAAGTCTGTAATAAGACAGAAACATCATGCAAAAGTGTGTGGCAAAGGAAAGCTCCTCATCTCATGGCAGCCAGGAAGCAGAGAGAAGGGAAAGAACCAGAAAAGAAGGGGCCTGGGACAAGATATACCCCTTAAAATCATGACTGTGGAGATCTAGTAACTCCAACTGGGCCCTACCTCCTAATAGCCCATTTAGCTCTGAACTCATCACTGGGATAACCCACTGATAAGGTTAGCACCCTCATGATCCATTCACCTCTCTAGGCCCCACCTGAAACATTGCTGCATTGAGGAAAAGTTCTTAATCCAAAACCTTTAGAGGAACCCTTCGTATTTAAACCAGACCACTTCCTTTTCAGGAATTGGAGAAAGTGAGGGAATAGAGAAGATCTGGAATGTTACAGTATCGTAGTACAGTACTGTGATTTCAGAGTAGGAGAATACAAATGATTCCTTTTAAACTATAACATTCCAATACTTCCTGTTCTTCTCACTAGTTCTTACTTAAGGTAATATTATTTCAAACAGAAATATAGGAGCAAATACAATAAGCAATCTTGCTTGCTTATACTGTTTTTAAAAGGAGATTTGCCAGTAGATACCTCAAAGAACTGGGACTAGAGATTCCATTTGACCCCGTCATCACTCTTCTGGGTATCTTTCCAAAAGAATTAAAGGAATCATATCACAGTGATATATGTGCACCTATGTTTATAGCAGTATAGTTTATAATAACTAAAACTTAGAAACATCCCATTTGTCCATCAGTTGGAAACTGGATAAAGAAGATGTGGTTTGTCTATAAAATGGAATATTACGCAGCCATAAAGAATAAGGAATTAGATTCCTTCATAGGAAAATTGATACATTTTGAGGATATGCTCCTAAGTGAAATAAATAAGTCAAACATGTAAATACCAAATAGTTTCTCTGGCGTGAAAAACTGTGATAGTGCATAACATCCTAATGTGATTATTGACAGAGTGAAATAGGAATAAAAGGGCTAAAGGTGTAGGCAAAGTGGGAAGGGTAGGGGAAAGGTAATGAGGGAAAAGAAAAAAATATGAGAAAATGAAAAAATGGAAATAAAGTGTTTGTAAATGGGGAGGGGAGGGGGGTAGAGGGAGGGCAGGGACAAGGGGAAAAAATGAGAACCAAGACCTCTCATGTAAAGGTACAAGATCCCAATGATGAATGTAACTGTGCTGTATACCTAAAATGTACCAATAAACTCAATGAGAAAAAAAATTAAAAAATAAATAAAGGGAGATTCGCCTTCAACCCATAGCCAATCTATGTGGGCATATTGTGACTATTTCCTATTATAACATTCTCTGAGATAGAAATGACAGAGAAGCATGACCTCCAATCATAATTTAATTTTACAAAATTTGAATAGTTTAGCTGTAGAACTATAATTTGATAATATTTTGGATAAGTAGAATCAAATACTTATAATACTATTTTTGTTATTTACTTTCAGTTTCTTCAGGAATTAGTGATAACTTCAATTGTCTCCTCTCCTTGACTTCCAGTTCACGCTGGAAATTTACAGCAATGCTTGCCAATATCTTTGCATCACAGATTGTTCCTCCTGGGTCTTACAATTTGCTCAAGCTCTGTTTGTTGATGAGTCTAGTACAGACAAATGATTCTAAAAAGGAACTAGAAAATTGCCTGGATATTTTAATTATGACAAGTGATACTCTATTTGTAGAAAGGTAAAATATATGCCATGATTTTTTCAAAGTATAAATTGGTCACAGAATTGCAAAACTATGTCCCATTAGTATTATTATAATATGAAGTTTTAGAATTTAATCTGAGAACTGTAAGTATTTAAATCAGTTTTTATCAATGAAGTTCAAAAGTTTTTAGCCATTGAGGAATGGAATATTTGTGTTCAATATTTTGAGAATCTAAGCACTCAAAGTTTCAACCTATTCCCCCACTCTGACCTTTACAGGTACAGTAAATGCATTTTAGGCTTCCCCTAACCCCGTTCCTTAGATAAGGTTCTGTTTTTGTACCTTGTTTTCGTATTTAAGTAGTCTTCCCTCAAGATCCAACGAGGCATTTTTTTCTTTTCCTCATATATATCATCCAATAATAATCATTCACTGCACCCAAACAAGGGTATATAAAGTGCAAAAATTACAGGGGCTTTTTTTGGGAAGGGTATCTACTTAGCATTTGGGGATTTCTCTCTAGCAAGTACACTTTTTAAAGTTACTTAAATGTTCATAAATACAGGAATAAGCTGTCTGTTAACATCTTGTATGTGACTCTAAAGCAAACAAATTTATGGAAAGAATTTAAAATCTTTGAAATTTGCTGAGCATGGTGATGCACACTGGTAATTCCAGCTGAAGCAGGAGAATAGCAGATTTGAGGTCAAGCTAGGGCAATTTAGGGAGACCCCGTCTCAAAAAATGAAAAATAAAAAAGGAATGTAACTCAGTAGCTCATGGATTCAGTCTACACACACACACACACACACACACACACAGAATCCCCCAAAATAAAACAAATATTTCAAATTATAATTAACATAATTGAATATGTGATGTTTTGTTAAAATTAAATTATCACTAGCAATGTAAATAAAGTACTAAATGCTACAGATTACACCATTGTTCTTTTCCATTAAGAAACCTTGAGAGTTTATGTCTTTATAGCCTCACTAACATTGAATGCTATCAAATTTTAAAATTTTGCCTTCTGAGATGGCTGTGGTAGCACACACTGATAAGCTCAGCCCTTGTAAGGCTGAGACAGGAGAAGTTTGAGGCTAGTCTGGGTTACATACTATAAGGACAGCAAAAAATAAATAAAATAAATACATTTAAATTTAAAATTAAAATTTTGCCTTTTAATTGTAATTTGTATTTCTTTAACTGAAAATAATCTTTAGTGTATTTAAGATATTAAGCACTTGTTTTTCTATGAACTTTTTGTTTTTCACCATTGTCCATTTTTCTATTAACTTAATTTTTTATGGATTTGTAATACTTATTGCAAGCTAAGATATTTGTCTCTTTTCCTGTGTCATTCACATTTGTATTTTTCTTGTAGTGTTTGGGGCTGTATGAGAAATTTAGTTTTTTGTTTTTAGGTAAATTTTATATATGCTAAAATAATCATATCTATGGAAACAATGTTTTGAAAAATGCACACACTCCTATAGCCACATCCATAATATTAGGATATTTTCATCCCTCTAGAAATTTTTCATTATTACTTCCACTGAGCTTCTATCTCCACAGGTGACTTCTGTTATCATAGATTAATTTGCTTGTTCTTGAACTATGTATAAATGGAACCATACAGTGTATACTCTTGGATATACTC